GAAACTAGAAAAGGAGGATGGAATAAGGGAGATGATAGGGAGAAATGATTAAGGGATATTATCTGCAAGTAAAAATCTGCCAAAATGAAATCCACCAATATGCACTAATAAACATGAGAAGAAAAGGCAGCATATATAAAATACTTTGAATAGTGCCTAACAAACATTAAACATTCAATAATGCCATTATCGGGCCAGAGATAGCTCAGGGGACTAACCACCTGCTTAGGCAAGTGTAGGGACTGGTGTTTGATCCCCAGACACCACATGCAGCACCAGCCCTGCCTCCAGGCACACTGAGCCAGCCTCTGAGACCAGGCCTGGTGGCTCACACCTGTAATCCCAGTGCTCGAGAGGCTGAAAACAGGAGGAACACTATAGTCCAAGCTGCGTAGTAAGACCCTGTACCAAATACAAAATGAAATACCAAAAATAAATAAATAAATAATCCCATTACCATTCTCATCTAATGTTTGCAATCTTATTGGTTCTATTGGATAGATTTTTCTCAATTCACCTAAAGTTCATTTTGTGCTACATAGCAATACCCAGGACTTACGTAATTCTACCAAAAAAGACGAGCTGGACTTAGCTTACTCTAGTATCTGGTTTTAACTCTGGCTATGTTACAGGGTTTTTATTGGGTTTTTTTGTTTGTTTGTTTTTTGTTTTTTGCAGAACTGGGGATTGAACTCAGGCCCTTGCACTTGCAGGGAAGTGCTTATTCCACTGAGTCATCTTCCCAGCCCCTTATGTTATAGCTTTTAATGTCATAATTTCTTTTCAACAAGGGTTGGCTTAGCAGATTACTGCCATAATAAAATCTCATCTGCCAGAACTAAAGTGGGCACTTCAATTTTTAATGTTTATTCTCTGGAATGCTTCAATGTTTTCCACCTAGAATTGCTATGATAATAAAGTAAAACTCATAAAAAAAAACAAAAACCACTAACTGGCGTCAAAAGGGAAAAAGGAAAGGGAGGGAGGAAAGAAAAATAAATGAGAAAGGTAGAGAGAGAGGAGGAAGAGAAGGGGAGGAGAAAAAAAGAGAAGAAAAGAAATGAGGTGAGATCTATATGGCTGGCTCAATTAAGCTTGTCTGTAAAATTACAGGCATCTACCAGAATGGTGGAATAGGTGTAAGACAAAAGAAGCAATCTACAATTCCCATATCATATTTCAGTCTTTCACCAACCCAAAAACAAAAAACTCAAACTTACTGTTTGACTTGGCCAACCATTGAGACACGGGCAGACTCCAGATTTCGAATCTGGCCACTCTTCACACTAAGAGAAAAGTGGAAATGAGAGGGGAGGTTATTTTAGCATTTGCCTTATCACATCATTAGAAACAAATAAATCTGCATTCTATGGGATCTAAATCACATGGTACTTAGTATACAGAGTACCACTGCTCACTTGGCTATTATAGCTATACTTCAACAGATAGTAAAAAGTGAAGGCATTTTGACCATTTCAGTTGGCAAATATTTGCCAAAAAAGTATAATGTGCCTCATCTGTGTTCAAAAGTACATGATTCAGGCGGGGCATGGTAGCACATGACTGTAATCCCAGCACTTGGGAGTCTGAGACAGGAGGATTGCTATGAGTTCGAGACCAGCCTGGGCTACAAAGTGAGCTCAAGGCTAGTCTGAACTGCATAGCAAGATTCTGTCTCAAAAAGACCAAAACAAACAAACAAAAAAAGTACATGATTCAGCATTGGGGATATAGCTCAGTGGCACAGCACCTGCCTGGCAAAGCATGAGGTCATGAGTTCAATTCTCCAAGGTGGTGACCCCGATTACAGCTGCAGTACCAGATGTGGTTTCCTTGCTTGAGCAGATCAACACATCCCTGGTAGTTGGCATGCAGCTGTTGATTTGGTAAATGCCTTCTTCTCTATACCTATCCATAAGGACCATCAGAAACAGTTTGCTTTCACTTGGCAAGGCCAGCAATATACCTTTAGTCTTACCACAAGGATATATTAACTCCTGCCCTGTGTCACAACTGAGTTCATAGGGACCTTGATCATTTGTCTCTTCAAGATATCACACTGGTCCATTACATTAACGATGTTATGCTGATTGGGCCTAGTGAGCAGGAGGTGGCAACCACCTTGGATTCCTTAGTACAGCATTTTAGAGCCAGAGGATGGGAAATAAATCCCACAAAAATTCAAGGTCCTTCTACCTCAGTGAAGTTTCTAGGAGCCCAGTGGTGTGGAGCATATAGAGATATTCCTTCTAAGGTAAATGGTAAGTTGTTGCATCTGGCTCCCCCCATGACCAAAAAGGAGGCACAGCACCTAGTGGGCTTATTTGGATTTTGGAGACAACATATTCTTCACTTGGGTATCTTACTACAGCCCATTTACTGAGTGACTCAGAAAGCTGCTAACTTTGAGTGAGGCCCAGAAGAGGAAAAAGCCCTGCAACAGGTTCAGGCTGCTGTTCAGGCTGCTCTGCCCCTGGGACCATATGGTCCAGCAGATCCAATGGTATCTGAAGTATCAGTAGTAGATAAGGATGCTGTATGGAGTCTCTGGCAGGCCCCCATAGGTGAATTGCAGCAGAGGCCTAATGAGCAAGCTTGGGAGTGGATTTTATGAGTGTGAGATAATGGTGGAAAAAACATACACCTGGATCAGGCTGAATTTTGTTGATATGAGCCCACTAAGTGGGATTCTGAATTTAATGTTGTGGCTTGTGGAGTAAAGAAAGGTGTTAATAGTCTATTTGGCTGGTTGGCAGAAGTGTGGCTCAACAGATGGCCCACAGTGAATGAGTCAGAGATGCCTGATATTCCATGGTTTACTACTGACAAAGGGAATGCTGGAGTGGATCTGTCATATTAAACCTAATCCTCCACATTTGGAAGATCCCAAAAACACACCCTTCACTAACACCTTGAGAAACAGACTTGTGAGGGGAGCACCAGAATCCCTGAAGGGCCCTGTCATTGCTCTTCTCTGTATGCCAGATCTTACAATGGGAACCGCAGTTACTCAGATAGGAAATTTAAGGGCCATGGGCTTGATTGGATCCCAGAATGGCAGAGATCAAGTGGCAGCACTTAACCTCCATGAACAGCTGAGGTGGAACAATGACTAGAATAATCTGACACGCACAGACCTATGGCATTGGCTGATTAGCCATGGTGTTCCCCAAAGTGAAATAGATGGGAAGCCTACAAAATTTTTGCTAGATTTATATAAATGAAAGAACTTCAGGGCAAAAGAACAGGAACCTACTTCAAATCATGGTAATAGGCAATCCCGGCCACTCAACCAGTTCCTAGATTTGAGCCAATGTATAGACCCAGAACACCTTGAATGATGGGGAGACCATGTCTCCTTGGGGAAGGTTCCTAGTGTCCCCATAATTCGTATAGTCAATTTTTCTCCTATCCTTCCCCAGAGGGACCTAAGGCCTCTTGCCCAAGTGACCGCACATTGGGGAAAGGGGAATGATCAGACATTTTGGACAATACTGGACACTGGTTCTAAACTGACACAGATTCCAGGGGATCCAAAACACCACAATGACCCTCCAGTAAGAGTAGGGGGTCTATGGAGGGGAGGTGATCAATGGAATTTTAGCAAAGGTCCAACTCACAGTGGGTCCAATAGGCCCTCGACTCCATCCTGTAGTTATATCCCCTGTTCCAGAATGTATAATTGGCATAGATATACTTAGTACTTGGTAGAATCCTCACATTGGTGCCCTAACCTGTCATGTGAGGGCTATTATGGTTGAAAAGCCACATGGAAGCCCTTAGAGTTACCCCTGCCTGGTAAAATACTGAGCCAAAAGCAGTACCGCATTCCTGGAGGGATTGCAGAGATTAGTGCCACCATCAAGGACTTGAAGGATGCAGGGGTGGTGGTCCCCACCACATCTCTATTTAATTCTTCCATTTGGCCTGTGCAGAAGACAGACTGGTCTTGAAGAATGACAGCAGATTACCGTAAACTGAACCAGGAGGTATGCAGAGGCTCTCGGCTCACTTCTTCATCCAACGCTGTGACTGGTACATCTTGTGTTATACCTGTTCCTTATATTATATCTGCTCCTCTAGTAAAACACTGACTAATATAGGGCTATAACTCGGTGGCACAGCACCTGCCTGGCAAAGCATGAGGTTATGAGTTCGATTCTTGCTAACAGAAAAAGCAAACAAAAAACCCCACTAAAGTACATGACTCTAAAAAAAATTAAAAAATAAAGTGCATGACTCAGTAGGGAGAAGACATGAACAGAGAGTATTAATATAGTAAGGCAAGATTCAAAAGAAGCACTTTATTCTGAATGAGGACACTCAAGAATGTTTCCCTCAAATCCTGCCTAAACTGAGAAGTGAAGATAAGAAATTAAGCAGCAAATAA